GTCCAGCGACCGCAACGCTAAGTGCTCTGGAGGGGAAGGCTGACTCTCTGTAGCAGGCCAGCTAGTCAGGCTCTTAGGCGTTGCGGGCCATCAGTGTCTGCTGCCACGGCTTGACTCCGCAGTGAGCTGAGAACAGCCACATGGGCATGGAGGTGTCCCGGGGCCTGAGCTGGGCAGTGACGGTGAGTGGCCACCTGCAGCTGATTCAGGCAGAACCAAATACTCACGGTAATAAATACACTGTAATAAAGCTACCCTTGGTGAGGGGCATGGATTGACTGTGTCCCCCAGACACGTGCATTGCAAGGCCCAACCTCTAGACCTGTCCTTATGATCCCCTTTGGGAGTGGGTTATCACTGCTATGTTAATGAGGCAGGATAGTGGAGGGTGTGTCCTGAGTCAATCTCTTTGAGATATAAAAGAGATGAAACCTAAGTTGGGGAGCACAGGGCTGGAGGAGAAGAAGAGGGGCCAAGTCACAGAAGGATCACCCTGGAACAGAATTCCAGAAGAGATACGGACCTTCTTCCTGAGCTGACAGAGACAGAAAGTCAGCCCCTAGCGCCAGTGCCCCAAACTGAGACTTCCAGCCTCCTCAGCTGTGGGAAGACAGCCGTCTGTTAGTTAGAGCCACCACTTGGGGTCTGAGTATTTCTGTGAGAGCAGCACTGGACAGTGTGTGTTCTGGTCAGGCACCAGGCTAAGTACTCTACACGCGCCATCCCACTACGTCCTCGCAACAACCCTCTGAAGGAGGTTATCATTACTTCCACTCTGTAACTGGAAAGACGGAGGTTTGGGGGGCTGGCTGGGCATTCCCTTTTTGACCACCCAGGCACATTCCCTTTCTGCTCAGGGCTCCGGAGGGGCTGACCCCTGAAACACATCTCTTAGCTCCCTGGCCATCTGGTTCCCAGCTGAGTTTGGCCACTGTAAAGCTCTGGCGGCCAGTGGAGGGCTGGAGGAGAGAGAGACCGGGGGCATTTCTTCCCTGCCCCCTTGCTTCACCCCTGCATCTATGGGAGTAGCTGTTATTCCACAGCCCCAGCTCTGTCCAGCAGACCCTCCCCTGCAACTTGGTGAGCACTGGGGTCAGTGACACTGACGTCTGTCCACGTCCTTCAGCCTAGAGGTGCTGTGCCTCGCCGATCTGTGTTCCTTCATGAGTCTCTTCTTGTGAACCCGCGGGGGGGATGGCCACGTGGCCATGGCTGACTGAGGCTGGGCACGTTAAGCTCAGGTCTCCAGTCGCAGGAGGCTGATGAACCACAGAACCAGTCAGGAGGTGGTGATGGGGGCTGGAAGGGAAGGCGAGTCTGACCGGGGCTCGAACCGGCTGGGTCAGGAGCTGGGGGCTGGGAGCTGGATCCAGGCTCCCTCCTGGCTTCCAGGCATTGGCTTCCATTATGGGCAGGGATCAAAAGAGGCCAGAAAAAGCAGTTCCTCTTCTCCTGCCCCTGGGTGCGGTGAGCAGCCCAGCTCTTGAACTACCTCCCGACCCCAACCAATGAGAAGTTTTTGTTTTCTCAGCTCAGCTCCTGGTCTAGACCCTCTGGCCTCTTCCCCAACAGCAGCAGCGGAAGGGCTGGTGGTGCAGATCTGGACTGGGGACAGGCAGGGGTGGGGGCCTGGTTGCTCCTCGGGGAGGCGGTAGTCAGTGTGTGCTGGTAAAGAAAGGGGACCATCTGGGTCTGAGAGATGCCAGGAGAGGCACAGATGGACACTGGCACCTCCCCCCACCCCTGGAACTGGGATGCCTGTCGTCTCTGCAGCCCGGCCTCTTCACTGGGCAGTGTAGATGAAGGGCCTGGACTGACCGTCTTAGTGGGGGCGGAGAACAAGGAAGACGGGCTTCTCCGAGACTCAGGGCTGGGGCTGCAGCAGCAAGATTTCCCTTGCAATGGACTCTGGGTACGGCTGGAGCCTTGAGTCCACCCAGGGGCACCTTACAAGAAAAGCTTGGCAGTACACATCCCTCCAAACCAGCACTGGAAACGCCACGGAATGGTTGGCCTCGGACACACGCGGAGTCGCCAGGAGCCAGACACGGCAGCTGATACTTGTACTCCGGGTTGGTGTGCACTGAAGGGCTACCTTGGGCCCGAAGCTGGCCTGTAGCCTCAGCCTGGTCGTCTGTCCATCTATCCAACTTTCCGCTACCCTATGAGGATTGAGCATCTACAAAGGGCCCCACATCATACCAAGCACAGGAGATTCGACGAGGAATGCGACAGGCACCGGAAACAGACAAACAAAAAGAATCCTCGCAAATTGTGGTCTTTCAAACAGCGGAAAAACAGGTCTCTCCGAGTTTAAGAGGATGGGCAAATGCTAAGCCAAGAAATATGAGGGGAAGATCATTCCAGGCCTGGTAAAGGTTGTGGTGTGAGGAGCCATCCACTCTGCTGCTTTGAGGCACAAACGAGCCCTGCAATTGGGCTGTGGATGGAGAGAACCACTGGAGAGCGGTACTAACACCCTTCCACGGCCGTGACCCCGCACCCTGCCATCTCTTCTTGCCTCAATGGCTCTAGCATGCAAGGACAGGGCAGTGAGTTTGGTTCAGGCCTGAAGTAATGGAGTCAGTAATGGAGTCAGGCCGAAGGAGAGCAGGGCACTGGGAGATGGATCCCCCAGCACTGTTTGAAAGGTGGAAAGGAAGTCTGGGGATTTCTTGGCACCTGGAGAAGACTAGAGATGCGGCACATTTTATTAAGGAATATTAACCTGATAGGGTTGCGGAGACCTAACCAGAAGGCCTCTTTTTCATGCTGATTGTGGGGGCTCAGCAGGACCAAACACACCTGTATTTGAGGCTGATCTCATTCTGCTCCTGAAGAAATGATCTTGAATGGCTAGCTTTTCCTGCTGCTGCTTCTGCTCCCAGTGACCCTCAACAACTGCTCTGGAATCCTGCTACGCACACACCCTCTGATGGGAGTCCAAACCCTCCACCTTCTCCCTGTCCCACATGCATACACATGGGTCACACGGAGGCCACTGCACATCTGAAAGGAACAACACTGACGTGAGCTGGGGAAATGCTCTGGAACAGACACAGGAGACACGAGCCAGGAGCTGCCTTCTGGTCACCCTTGCTAGTGAGTCCCCGTCACATAGGAGCGGCAGTGCCTTTGGGAAAGGACTGCTGCAGGTCGGTAGATGAAAATTTAGTACTGTAGGAGGTTGCTATTTTATTGTTACCTCTCAGGTTTATACAGGTAATTCCCTAACTCGGTACCCTTTAAGCACCAACTCCCCATTTCCCCTCCCCTCCATCCCTGCTCTTCACTAATAACACTTTCGTTTCTATGCATTTGCTTAGTCTAGGTATTTTATGTAAATAGGATGATACAGTATTTGCCCATTTGTGTCTGACTTATTTTACCAGCCAGCAGCTTGCATAATGTTTTCAAGGTTGTCATAGCACGTATCAGCACCTCACCTCTCTCTCTTTTAGGCTGAATAATAGTCCACCCCATTCATCAGTTGCTAAGACACTTGGGTTGTTTCCACCTTTGGGCTATGTGAATAATGCTGCAAGGAACATAGGCATATGGTTATCTGCTTCCGAGCCTGCTGTTAATTCTCTGGGGGCCCTACCAAAGAGAGGAGCTGCTGGGTCATAGAGTAACTGACCTTTTTGAGGCGCTCAGAACGGTTCTCTGCCGTGGGTATGCTATTTTACATGCCCACCAGCAACGGAGGAGGGTTCCGATTTCTCTGCATCCTTGGCAATACGTGCTGTTTTCTGTTTTACTGATAATAGTCTTCCTAGTGGTTGTGAAGTGGGATTTCACTGTGGTTTTTTGTTTTGCTTTTTCCCATTAACTTTTTGTGGTTTGGGTGAAAGTATACAGCACAAATTAGTTTTTCTCATTGTGGTACTGATTTGCATTTCCCTAATGAGCGACCTGTCTATTCATCCTTCCCAGAGCGAGAGGGAAACCAACACAGGCACAGGTGGTCAGACCGTCTACCTCCTTTCTCTTCACCCCCATCCTCTCCCACCTGGGCAGAAGCAGAGGGGATCAGAATTGCACTCTGAGAGTTAGCTGGAATACTACTCGTAAGTACCTATTACAATAGCAACAACAAAACAGTTCATGCGAGGCACATTTTCATCATGTGCCAGGTCTGGGCAGTACTTTACAAATGTGAACTCCTCCCATCACAACTCTATAAGGCAGTGATTCTCAACCTTCCTAATGCTGTGACCCTTTAAATAGTTCCTCATGTTGTGGTGACCCCCCCCAACCATAAAATTATTTTCGTTGATGCTTCATAACTATAATTTTGCTACTGTCATGAATTGGGCGACTACTGTGAAAGGGTTGTACAACCACCAAAGGGGTCACGACCCACAGGTTGAGAACTGCTGCTCTAAGGCGAGGATGATGGTTTACCCCTATTTGGGGAAGGAAGCCACTGAAAGTCACACAGGGAACGCAATGAAACTAGGCTCCAGCAGAGCTCAGGTTTGAACCTAGGTCTTTCTCACTTCAAAGCTTGGGTTCCTATTCACTAGCAGATACTTGTGTGTGTGTGTGTGTGTGTGTGTGTGTGTGCGCACCCCCAGATGTGTGAACAAGACTGCTGCCCCAGGAAGATAAGCCATCTGTGTCTGGTGGGACTCAACGTCTCAGGCGTCCTGAGTGCCCCTCCTGGGCAATGAACAGCCTGGACAACAGCCCTGAGGCTCAGAGTCCAAACAGTCTGGAGATGACCCTGCTTTCTGTACTCAGTGCAGGCTCCCAACTGGGGCTCTGATCTGATCACTCTTGGGGCTGCTTGGCTCCAGGTATTAACCCTCAGGTTCTTCCAGGGACCCCTAGCCCAGAGATGTCTTGCAGGTGTCCTGTGTGACCAGGAGCCCTGGTAGGTTGGTAGAGGAAGGCTGTGAGCAGGACAGAAGGACAGCTGCGTAGGCAAAGTGCAAACACGACTTTGCCATGTTCAGGCCATTGGGGGTTTGCTCCCATCGTGGTGACTACAATACCTGCAAGATCTTCCTTGGAAGAGACTAATCGTGGAGAGCTGCTTCCTGGCTCAATTCTGAGTGATAGTCTGAAAAGAAAGATTTTTCACAAGATCAGAAATGCTCTGGTTATATCTATTAGAAGGGTTGTGAACATGAATATGCCTATGGAGGGGAGAATGAGTTGCTGTTAAGGGGAATTGCAGTCATGGGGCCCGGGAATTCTGCAGGGTGTGCTCCAGACCACAGTCCTTCCCTCTGGGAACCCCATCTTCACGTCTGAGAAACAAGGGTGAGGGAGGACAAGGTGAAAGGTACGATCAGGGCGGGACGACTGTTCACTGAGCACTGCAGTGCTAACCTTTGCAACCACCTTGTGAACTAGGCACGTTGATGGTCCACATTTTGTACAGACAAGGAAACTGGAGCAGTGAAGTCACGCAGCGTCCCCAAATTCACAGGGCCGGCAAGTGGAGAGGCTCAAACCCAAACCAGGACTTTCTCTCATCAGAGGGAACAGGTGACGAGGACGGACCCCTCACGACTGTCGTCTAAGCATCAAGTAAGAACTTCTGGGGGAAGATGGCAGAGTGGAGCCATTTTCCAGACTCTCTTGCCCGTCCTCCTCCAAACCAACAAACAGTTACAAAGGCTTTGAGCAGGGTAACTTACCAGCTGCAACTGAACAAGGTAAGGGGAATAATCTGAAGCCACAAACTTCAAATTTTGCAGCAAAGGAAAGAAAAAGAGGGTTGGAAGTTGGACTAACAGTTGCAACACAGCAAGGCTTCTCTCCTCCTGAGCCTTCTCAGTAGCTCAGACTGGGAGACCTTATCTTTGCGTCTTTTGAGTGGCAACAGATGTGGAGCATGTGGTGTTACTCCGATGGAAATGAAGGTCTCCATGGGGACAGGATTGGAAACGTGAGGAACCCCCCTTGCTGGCATAGATTATAGCCCCCCAACTAGGGGGTGGAAACTCTGCCTTGATGGCGCCTGAACCCTTCCCCCCACCCCCACCCACTGCCTTAGGCTACAAAAGAGGAGCCACCCCATCGAGTCCACGGCCCAGCGGAGGGGAAACGCAGCCCACCTCACACATGGGGGAGAGCCTGACGTCTCCCCAAGGGTCAGCGCCATGGGCGAGCCAGCTGGTGCCTCGCAAACAGAAGCCCAGCAGAAAGAAAGGCTACAGGGACCGAGCAAGCAGCCTCTCAGCACAAAAGAAAGAAAGGGGACAGCACTTCCCAGAGAGCTCGACCCGAAGGCAGCCGCCAGGAATCCAAGAGAATCTGCTCCAGTGCTTCCATCCACAGAACAGCTTACTAAGCGCGTGCGTGAGTCAGACAACACCTGGAAAATGAGACTACATCAAAGAGGGAGAGCGAAGATCTCAGAGGGCAAGTCAAGGCCTGACCCAGCACAAGACTGAGAACTGAAGGGGACAGACCCACCGAGTGAGAGTCATCGGAGAGATGACGAGGCTGTGGAGGGCAGAGAGCACCCCACAGATGGCTCCCTGGAATCCCTGAAAGCGAGACGCCAAGGCATGGCACAGGTACAAGCGGAAGAATCTCTCGGATGTGAAGAAGGAGCCCGCCATCCTCCAGGGAAAGTTGGTACAGAACCCTTCGCTCTAAGGCCTTCTCTTATTTCCAAGCTTTTGCACTTCAAGGAATGCTGACAAAACAACTTACTTATAGGAAGAAGGGAAAAAGTCAGATTGCCTTCAGGGCTCTAGAGCAAGTTTCAATTCCAGAAAGCCATGGAGCAAGGTCTGACGGTGAGAAGCAGAGGAACATGACCCGACCATAACCCAAGGAGACGCAGGCGATTTCCTGAGAAACCAGGTAAGGCAGGACCCAGAAGAGCTTCTTTTTTTCTTCTCGGAGGAGGTGGGGGGCGGGGGGAAGCAATCTCCTTCATGGTGATGGTGACATTCAGCTAAAGAAGGATTTTTTTTAAAATTCCTCATTTTATTGGGAAGCTCTTACAGATCTCATACAATTTATAATTCCATAATTCAAATAGAGGAATTCATTTTAAAATAAAGACTCCTGGAATGAAGACGCCGCAGGAGCATAGCAGGTGGTCATAAATAAAAGGACCAAGTAAGGGGAGTTAGGGTTCCTGGACATCAGCTGATGTAGAAACATGCGGTAATGCTAATGTAACTGGCACGCTATTGTAGGCGGTGGAGGGAGGGAAGGCAGCTAATACTGTTCTCATCTTTCCACCCAGAGTGGACTGACACTGTTCTCAATGGGGCCTAGGTTCACAAGCTTAGTGACGCCAACCCTTACGTTTTCATGGACCTCTTTTATTCAGCTCTGAAGGGTCTTCTAGAAAATAGTATTTCTTGTGGTGAAGAAACATTTATTGAAGAACAGAAATTCGTTAAGTTTTGTTTTTGTTCCCTTTTCTGGTTAAACTAAAATTAGAGTTAATACTTCTAGTTAAAGTTAGCATGTATAGCATGGCCCAATTAATAAATTCTACCTCTGTGTCAACCCTTCGATCCATGCCTTTTTGTGTACGCACGCAGAGAAAAATGTCTGAAATCAAGCTCATTTAATGCTAATGGTCATTCTTTTCACATGGTGGGGACTGGGGTCATTTTTCTTAGATTAAAACAAACAAAATACAAAATACAACAGAAACAAAGGCGAAGACAGACAAGACCCTGTTGGGCCCTTGGCACACTATCTGCAAAGCAGATGGGAATAGGGTGTTAGAAACTCAAAGTAAGAAGAGTGAAAATGAACCCTGGCAGCCTTTGGGGCTATGGAACAAGTCCCCTGGGCATGAATTGGGCTGTGGAGGGGGTCTCTTCAATCAGAGTCATAAAACTCACCCATTTCGTGCCACTCAGCGCTCTCAAGAGGTCACTGGGAAGGGACCCTGTGAATGGGTCTGGGGGCCTGGGTAAGAATGCAGGGTTTCTCCACTGTGACCATACAAAGGGCCTTTACAAATGCCTGGCTGACACTGCTGTGCAGCATCACGTCCTGGGGGTGTGAAAGTGTCCTTCAGGATAGAAGGAGTAATTACTCATAATCTGCAACTTGTCCAAGGATTATCTCATGGCCAGAAGTATTTAGGGACCGTTTTTCTCCTTAAGGGATATTCGTGTTACTGAAAATCTACTGTTCCTTTAGTCTCCATGCTGGCACACGAGTGGAAAATATTATCCCAGAACCTACGTGGGAATGACTTTTCACTCCAGGGTATTCTTTTCAGGAACAGCAAATGCTTTGTAAATAACATGAGCTTAATCTGTGGCAGACACGTTTTAATTGTAATCTTTGGCCTTCAGCTATTGTTTTTACTATTATGTAATATACCAAAATTTCATAGTGTGCTCTATTTTAACAAATTAGTGAACCTTAATGACTAAAGACAAGCCTATATTCTTCAAACATGGCTGATCATCAGAACCACCTGGAGAGCTCTGAACAAATACACATTTCCAGGCTCGACCTCACAGCAGAAACCTTCCTAGGTGATTCTAATTAACAGGGCTAAGCCACACTACTGTACAGCTGGCCATATGTGTAGCTGGGCACAGCCATCCTCAAGATCATGGCAAGTGGGTCATTGGTGCCCTGGGTATGCAGCTAGTGGCCACAATTCCCTGTGGATTTCAATGACTTGGGTGAAGACAAAAGCAATCCAGCTGACTTAATATGTAGGCACAAAACACAGAAGAGATTAAACATAATTTGGATAAAGGAGCTCAAAAGAATCATGGCATACCAGAAGCACCCACAAGATGAGATTTTAAAACTACATATAAAGTTGGCATTTACTTGATAAGTAATCAAGTGCAAGATGTTGGGGATTTGCCTCAGTATCAGATCATGTGTTCCCAATTCTACCATACAAATCTTGCTAGGCCAGAAAATGTACACTGGTACAGATAGGAACTGGTACCTTCAGGACCAGTGGTGAGAGTGGCGATACCGGGAGGGTGGAGGGAGGGTGGGGTGGAAAGGGGGAACTCATTACAGGGATCTACATATAACCTCCTCTCTGGGGCATGGACAACAGAAAAGTGGGTGAAGGGAGACATCAGACAGTGTTAAGATATGACAAAATAATAATAATTTATAAATTATCAAGGGTTCATGATGGAGGGGGGTGCGGGGAGGGAGGGGTTAAAATGAGGAGCTGATGCCAGGGGCTTAGGTGGAGAGCAAATGTTTTGAGAATGATGAGGACAATCAATGTACAAATGTGCTTTATACAACTGATGTATGTATGGATTGTGATAAGAGTTGTATGAGCCCCCAATAAAATTAAAAAACAAACAAACAAACCAAAACCACAAAGAAAGTAAATGTCTAAAAGAGAATGAGGGCAACATATGTGCAAACATGCCTCATTCAATTGATGTATGGACTGTGGCAAGAGTTGTACAAGCCCCCAATAAAATGATTAAAATAAAAAATATATATCTATCAGATCATGTGAAAATGAATGAGCCTTAGAGCAGACCTCGAGCTCAAAATAAGTCAAGATGATGTCTAATCAATGTGGCAGATAGAGATACCACGAAAAATCTCCTCTGGATACACTGAAGTGCTAGGTGGGTTCCCAGGGCCACAGGTGAAGAAATAACTGAACGCCCAAGCCCAATGAGTCCAAGCCGAGGCCAGAGGGTCCACAGTGGCTTTATGATGGAGATGGGGATGGGGATGGGGATGGGGCCTTGGACAGTGCCTGACAGTGAGAGTCTGGTAGAAAGCTGGGAGCCACAGATGGCTGTCCCACCCATAAAATGGGCTCCCAGGGAGAGAATCAACCATACAGTAGCCTGGAGATGTGGCTACCTGGAGATGTGGCTAGAAAGGTGGCCATCCACTGAGTGCTAAGGGTGGGGAAAGAGTCACTGTGATAAGCTGGATAAGCTGGTACCACACCCATCTGTGGAGATCAATTTCATCTGTTGCATACAATCTGGGAAAGTCAAGCTGATACGTGAAGAGAAAACCTTTCTCATGGAACCTGGGGGTCAGGAAGAGGCAAATGGAAGGAGATGGTCAGACGGACAAGTGGAGGGGAGAAGCTCAGGCAGGCACAGGTCACATTACATTTGTGTGCTTGTGTGCATTGGGGGAGAGTACTGCCGGGGTGGTCTCCTACAAACCCTAGTCCCAACAAGGCCCAGGCTGCCTGAAACTATAAGAACGCTGAGGGCAGCACCAGCGAGGGGGTCGGCCTAACTAACATGCGGAGTAGGAGGGACTTACTTGTAATTGTCATCTTCCACAAATTTCTGGAGCTCTTCAATGTAGCGCACAGACTTCAGGTATTTCTGCACATGGGGCAGTGTGGTGAGGTGATCTGCGAAAGAAAAACAAAATCCAGAGGCGTCAGTCCCTCCCCCATGTCCAGGCCCAGGGAGAAGTGCGGAAAGCACTGATTTGAGCATGAGGCATCTCGGTTATGAGATGCTTGTGGAGACATGCTCTCACGCTTTCACTGGTCACGGGGGTTCTCGTGGGTCAGGCAATGTGCAGAGCACTGGCTATACAAGGTGACCAAGCCTGGGTTCTGCCCTGAAGGAGTACCCCTCAAGTGTGAGGCCACAGACACCACCCCTCAAAGCTAGTAGGGCTGTTTGGCTAAGTAGGAGTTGCGGAAGCCTACACTTGGAGCACAGGAACAGAGAAAGATGGCTTCCTGCTCTCCAGGGAGACCACCCATTCCTCTCTATTGCTGATATCTCCTGACTGGCCCTTGGTCAATCAGGCTCAGTCATGGAGGGCTTGGGCACCTGACTTCACGGTCAAGCTCCCCACCCCAAAGCCCACCACCTCCACCCTCTTGGGTGAGATCAATGACCTCATGAATAGCCCATCTACCATTCTGACTTCTCAGCTTCTTGACTTCATTTCCAACAACCTGCTCCTATCTATCAAGCACCCCTTTCCAGGTCACAGTTTGGGTCTGGTCACATTTAACTGAACCTGGCGAGGTGTTCATCAAGCTAGCTCCCTATCCTTCTAGGCACATGGCTAGATTGCACTGCCTAGCCTCCATGGAAATGAGCGATGGAATAAGGAGCTTACATAATTGCTGCCTGCAACCTTGTATAATTCTCTCTCCTCTTGTTTCTGCCACCTGGATGCAGAGCCCAGAGGGCTCAGAAGTCATGGGAGAGATCTACATGGAAGTCATCATATAAAAAGGCTGCTGAACACAAAGTGGGTGCATAAGCAAATGTGGTGAAGAAAGCTGATGGTGCCCAGTTATCAAAAGATATAGCGTCTGGGGTCTTAAAGGCTTGAAGGTAAACAAGTGGCCATCTAGCTCAGAAGCAACAAAGCCCACATGGAAGAAGCACACCAGCCTGTGTGATCACGAGGTGCCAAAGGGATCAGGTAACAGGCATCAAAGACCCAGAACAAAAAATCCTATCATTGTTAATGAGGGGGTGTATGGAGTGGGGACCAAAACTGGAGATCACCTCACGGAAGGGTCACGGGGAGGAGACGAGCCAGTCAGGGTGCAGTGTAGCAACAATGAAACACAACTTTCCTCTAGCTCCTAAATGCTACCCCCACCCCACTATAATGATCCCCATTCTACCTAACAAATCTGGCTAGACCAGAGGATATACACTAGTACAGTTAAGAACCGGAAACACAGCGAATTCAGGACGGATGATCCCTTCAGGACCAGTGGTAGGAGTGGTGATACCAGGAGGGTGGAGGGAGGGTGCAGTGGAAAAGGGAACCGATTATAGGGATCTACATATAACCTCCTCCCTGGGGGATGGCCAAAAGAAAAGTGGGTGAAGGGAGATGTCAGAAAGTATAAGATATGACAAAATAATAATTTACAAATTATAAAGGGTTCATGAGGGAGGGGGGAGCGGGTAAAATGAGGAGCTGATACCAGAGGCTAAAGTGGAGAGCACATGTTTTGAGAATGAGGAGAGCAACAAATGTACAAATGTGTTTTACACAGTCGATGTATGTATGGATTGTGATAAGAGTTGTATGAGCCCCCAATAAAATGTAAAGAAAAAAAATGTTTGTAAGAAAAATATTTATATATATTAAAAAAAAGACATCTGTAAAGGCAGTGGACTGTCTCAGACTAAAGGAGACTAAAGAGATGTGACAACCGAATGTCACACGCTCCACTGGACCTTGTACGGGAAGGAGAAAAGGTGCTTCAGAACACGACTGGATCTGTGACAAAAACCGTACGAGGGACAGCATGTGAGCTGAAAGTGGCTTTTCTAAAGAGAATGCTGACACATGGTGACACACGTGACCAACGTCATGAATCAACTTCAGGGGGACTGACAAACAGGAATCTAACATCGTGTGCAAACATCTACCAAAACCTCGATAAAAGTTTGTTCAAACCGAAAAAAAGAAAAGAAAAGAAAAGAAAAGGCTGTGATCCCTGAATCTTTTGGAGAGCAGCCCAAAGGAACCCCTGCGTGGGCAATTGTGGGGAAAAACCTACTTCGTGTTGCGAATGAGAAACCAGCTCACACTGTATCACGCACCTCTGACCGTTTTGGCACAGGTTCGCCCCCTTGACTAGCACCCTGGACGCAGCTCTCCCTTTCTAACTCACTAGTAAGTCTGTTCTGGGAGCACAGCCGTTGGGTCCCCCACTACTTCCACGAATTGTTCTAAGACTCCCAAGGGGTCTCAACTCACTGTCATCTCTACTGCACCACCCCCTCAGCCCCCACCCCCCTTCGTCACACTCTCTTTTCATGACTTGAGCCACTTATTTTCCATGGCCCATTGTTTCGGCAACACTGTTGCCAGTACTCTGAACTCACTTTGTCTTCTTTCTGTCCCGTCCACTTGGTAAACTCCTATGTTGGATGAACCCACTGTCCTCTCTCTTCATGACTGCCATACCTACCAGAGCCATTGGACCTGTTAAACAAAACCAGACCCTGAAACTGACTGGCGATATCTCCTCCCAAGAGGACTCTCCACACGGCCTGGCAATCCCCCAGGCTTCCCTGTGAAACGCTTTCCCAGGCTCCAAAACAACCATTCAAACAGTCCCCAATGCGACTGACCCCAAAATCTCCATTTCCCTTCTCAATCGGACAGATGTGCTCTCTCATCTTACTATCAGGACCTACTTCCATCTGCGTGAATGCTATCAGTGGCCAGTCTTCTTATCTCTGCTCTGCATCCTTCCCCCTGCCTTCTCCAGGGCCTTCCATCATTGACTCTCCTTGATCCTCTCCCTCACGCTTCTCTTACACTGCTGCCATTAACTTATAAAATGCCGTGCTCGCCTTAAAATCCACGAAAGCCACACCTCTTTCCTTGATGTCACATTTCTTGTATCCTTGTACCTCTTCATTCAGTTCTCTCAAAAGTCCTCTCCTCCAGTAAGTCACCATTATCTCTTAGCTGTAAAGATAACCGTCTACTTAATTTCCCACTTTGCACCCTGGACTCCTACTCATCCATTCTCTCTCTCAGCAAAACAATCTGTACAGGATGCAGGTCTGGTCACTGAACAGTGTCTTTGAGACACTTGAATGGCATCTCATTGCTCTTGTGATGAAAACCCATCTCCCTACCTTGGCCAAGAAAGTGTCACACAATTTTTGCCTGCTTCGTTACTCTCACCGGATACCATGCTTTCCCCTGTTGCCTCTACTCCACTTCACCAGGTTGTTTTCCCCATCCCTGGTAGATCCCAAGATCCCTCCCACCACAGGGCCTTACACAAGCCATTTGTGCCCTTTGTGGAGACACTTTCTTAACCTTTCTTCTTTGGGGAGCCCATTTTTGACTCCTGGATCTGATCAACACCCTCTTTTAAGCCATCAGACCACCAAGTCTTCTGCATAGTGCAGGTTAATGAAGCTTCTCCAACCCGGATGCCAAGTTCTTCTTCATGCAGTCCAGGTTAATTTGCTCAGCATACAGACTAAGTTGGTAAAAGGATACAACCCCGACACACACCAGTTTGGGAAGCAGTACAGCCAGAATACGCCTTAGAAGGGAGGATGGCCAGACTTTGTCTTATGTACGTTGGCCACATTGTCCAGAGGGGCCAGTCCCTGGAGAAGGACGTCCCGCTTGGTAGAGCAGAGCGGGTCAGTGCCAGAGAGGAAGACCCTCAGTGCGATGAACCGGCACGGCGGCTGCCACACTGCCACAACAATCATGTGGGCGGTGGAAGACCAGGCAATTTTGTTCTGTTGCACATGGGGTCGCTATGCCTTGATAGCACCTAACACCACTGCAAAGTACCCCTCGTTTGTGGCAATGCATCACAGTTGTCGTCTTACCTTTACTTGCACTATTATTTCATTCATGCCTCTCTAAATCCTCAAAGAGCAGTAACCGTATTGGTCTTGTTGTCCTCCTGTCTTTAGCTTTTCCTACAGGACCAGTATTCTAGATGTTGAGTGCTATTATAATATGTATACCACAAAGAGTGGTTTTAGCAAACAAGTTCATTTTGCCACAGTTTAGGGTGCTAGAAAGCTGAATTCAGGGTGCTGGCTCTAGGGGGAGGCTTTCTCTCTGCCAGCTCCGGAGGAAGGTCCTTCTATGAGCTCTGCTCCTGGGTCATCTTCATGTGGCTTGGCATCTTTCTTCTCCCAGTTCTGTGCTTCTCAATTGCTTGTTTAATTTCTTCTATATCTCCAAAGGCACTGTCTCCAGGCACCACCAATCCTGGCTCACTGACATACCAATGACAGCCCGATCCAAAATGGGGCTAGCTACCGGCATCAAACTAAAAAATAATAAAATGTACTGCCATTGAGTCAATTCCAACTCAAAGCTACCCAACAGTAGAACTGCCCTGTAACTCTTTATGGGAGTAGAAAGCCTCATCTTTCTCTCTCCTAGGGGTTGGTGGTCTCAAACTGCTGACCTTCAGGGTAGCAGCCCAGTGCAAAGACCCACTATACCACCAGGGCTCCTTTACCTACATATATAATAAAAGTTAAGAACACAACCAATAACAACCAGACACAGAGTAAGTATTCAAACATAGCTGCTGAATAAATGAATGGATGACTTAGGAGCCAAACAGACCAGGACTCTGACACTTACTGAATGGAATCTTACATATACTAGTGTGAAATCAGGTAAGTCTCTAAACTATCTTAAGCCTCGGTTTCCTCACGTAAGATACAGAGTCATGTGTGGTTTGCACAATCTTTGTGAAGATTAAGCCTTTGTGTAAAACATGTAGCACATGCTTGATGCCCACGTTATTGACATGCAGAACTGGCTGATATGCAGAGCTTTCTCCTTGGCAGGTGCTGGGCCCCAATTTCAGTATTGTATGATTTCGAGATTACAACACATAGGGTACTAACCATAGCTGCATGAAACTTGTAAATCAGCAATTATTCGGAGAATATTGTTCATCTGATTGGATCTTTGTTCATTTTCCATGATGCTGCCTGAGGCAGGATAAGCAGAATCAATGTAGATTAAGTCCAGAAGATAGATCCCTGAAATTAAAGAAGATATTTAATGATGGTGAGAGATCACTGTTCATCAGAACAAAATGGCACAACTCAGTACTGATAATAGGTCTAAAGGGTGGCTGATGGAAAACATCAAAATATGATTTGGGCTTCAATTTCAATCCAGACTATTCATTGTTCACCCAGACTGCGCAATTGTGAATCAAGCATTTTAACAAGCGAAACGAAAACAATGCTGCTAATATTGGAGCATTTGTAGCATTTACACACTTCACCAATAAGTATTTTACAACACAGAAAATGGCATGATAGGAAAAGGATGAATACTTTCTCCACCAACTGATAGGTTTAAGGTGTCATATCTGGGAGATCATTCACTAGAAAGAATTCATGTTTTAATTTAGTCACTCAGCTATCAATCCATATGTCAACTTGTCTAATCTACTTATGTACACGCACACCCCCCCCCAATAAAAACTCAACCAACCAACTAACCACACATCATAAATTAACTGAGGGACAAAACACAATCACAAGAACGATAGTCTTGGGTCTAGCATTTATGGGCAGTGTGGCCTTGAGCAAGGGGGTGTGGCTTCGTGCAGGGTGCAATACACAGTCATCCAATTGACTACATCTACACAAAGAGAACAAGGCCAGGGGCTGACTGCAGAATACAACATGCATTTTCAAATTCAAGTTGAAGCTGAAGAAAATTAAAACAGGTTGATGAGGGCCAGAGTAGAATCTCAAGTATATCCCACTTGAGTTTGTAATCCAACCCAAGAAGGGGTTTGATGCAGTGAACACTAATGACCGAATACAAGTGGCTGGATAACATCAAGGGCATCGTAAAGCAAAAGGTCATTAAAACATTGGAAAGAGTGAAAAGATCAAAATGGATGTCACAGGTGACTCTGAAACTTGCCCTTGAATGCAGAGTCGCTAAAGTGAATGGAAGAAATGATAAAACGGCTGAACAGAAGATTTCCAAGCAAACCTTCTTATTTCAAAGCAAATTTCAAAGCAAATCTATAAAGTACTATAAAGAAATGTACAAAGACCTAGAGTCAATAAACCAAAAGGGAAGAAGACATTTGACAATTATCAAGGTAAAATAAAGAAAGAAAATATCCAGGCTTCAAGTTGCAGTATGGAAGAATTCTATGGGCAAAATACTGGACAATGCAGTAAGCATCCAAAGAAGATAGAGGGAGAAGAGTCGCTGTACCAAAAAGAACTGGTCGAGGCTCAACCATCTCAGGAGGAAGCACAAGTTCAAGGACAGACAGTATTGAAGGAAGCAGTTCAAGGTGCACTGAAAGCACTAGCAAAACACAAGGCTCCAGGAATTGATCAAATACCGATTGAAATCTTTCAACAAACAAATATAATGGAAGCACTCACTTGTCTATGCCAAAACATTTGGAAGACAGCTACCTGGCCAGCCAACTGGAAGAGAGCCAGATATGCGTCCACTCCAAAGGCTGGCAATCCAGCAGAATGCAGAAATCACTGAGCAATATCCCATACAAGTAAAACCACGTGGAAGATAATGCAAACACAGGGCACATCTAGAAATCCAAGCTGGATTCAGAACAGAATGGAGAATGCGGGATACCACTGATCTCAAGATGGATCTGGGCTAAAAGGAGAGACTGTCAGAAAGATGCTTCCCTGGGTTGTATTGACTACACAAAGGTATTCGACCGTGTGAATCACAACACACTATGGGCCACACTGTGGAGAGTGAGAACTCCAGAACACGTGCCTGTGCTCACGTAGGACTGTACACGGACCAAGATGCAGTCATTAAAACAGAAAAGGGGGTACTCTGGAGTTTAAATCAAGAGAGTTGAAATCAGCGTGTCAGCACTGTACACTTTCATCCGACTTACTCAATCCGCATGCTGAGAAAGCAAGGCAAGAAACTGGACTATAGGAAAGAAACGCGCCATCAGGAGTGCAGAAATATTCATGAACCGCCTGTGAGATGCAGATGGCACAGCTGTGCTCGCTGAAAGAGAAGAGGGCTAGAAGCACTTATAGATGAAGGTCAAGAGATTACAACCTGCGGTGTGTATTACTCCTCAGCATAAACAAAAAATTCCAACAACTGGATCAATAAGAAACACGTAATAGATGGAGAAAAGAGAAAGATGGCAAAGATTTCAGTGTACTCGGATCCACAATGGATGCGTCAGTCAAGACATCAAATGGCGTGTTACACCGGGAAATCTGCTGCCTAAGACTTCTTCAGAATGTCAAGAGCAAAGCTGTCCCTTTCGGCTAAAGTGTGTCTGACCCTTGCCACAGTGTTTTCAATTGCCTCACGCGCATGGGAGAATTGGGCACTGAAAAAAGAAGACCGAAGAATTGATGTCTTTGCATTACTGTGTTGACAAAGAACAGTGAAGCCACCACAGACATTCAGCGCAACAAAGCTGTCTTGGGAGAAGTTCAGCTAGAATATCCCTTCGGAGTGAGGATGGCAAGACTTTATCTCACATGCCTTGGATACATTCTCCAGGGACACCCTGGAGAACGGAATAATTAGTGATTGATAAAATAGAGGGTCAATGTGAAAGAGGAAGACTCTCTTGAAATAATCAATAATTAACAAACGATGGATAGCCTTGAGAAGACTGGGAATCCCAGAACTCCACCCTGTGTTCCCGTGGAACCTGCACGTAGATCAAGAGGCAGTGTTTGAACTGTTGCTGGGCAAGCGCATTCGCATTGTTCTAAAGCAGGAAAGGGGTGTCAGGGGAGCATCCTCTCATCAGACTTATTCCATCTGTATGCTGAGCAAACAATCAGAGAACCTGGATTGTTTTTTTTGTTTGTTTATGATTTTGTTTTTCTTAAAAACCATTTTATTGGGGGCTCATACAACTCTTATCACAATCCATCCATCCATCTATTGGGTCAAGCACATTTATACATTTGTTGCCATCGTCATTTTCAAAACATTTCTTTCTACTTGAGCCTTTGGTATCAGCTTCTAATTTCCCCCCTCCCTCCCCAACCTCCCTCCCTCATGAACCCTTAATAATTTATGAATTGTTATTATTTTTCATGTCTTATACTGATCAATGTCTCTCTTCATCCACTTTTCTGTTGTCCACCCTCCTTAGAGGCGGTTATATGTAGATCATTGTGATCAGTTCCTCCTTTCTCCCCTCATCTTCCCCTTCCCCTGCTGTTCCTGCTACTCTCAATATTGGTCCTGAGGGGTCATCTGTCCTGGGTTCCCTGTGTTTCCAGCTCTTATCTGTACCTGTGTTTATGCTCTGGTCTAGCCGAATTTGTAAGGTAGAATTGGGGTCATGGTAGGGGGGCGGGGAAGCATGAAAGAACTACAGGAAAGTTGTATGTTTCATCAGTGCTTCGCTGCACCCTGACTGGCTCATCTCTTCCCCAAGATCCTTCTGTAAGGGGATGCCCAATTGCCTACAGATGGGCTTTGGGTCTCCATTCCACACTCCTCCTCATGCACAATGATATGATTTTTTTGTTCTGGGTCTTGTGATCACACAGGCTGGTGTGCTTCTTCCCTGTGGGCTTTGTTGTTTCTCAGTTAGATGGCCGCTTGTTTGTCTTCAAGCCTTTAAGACCCCAGACGCTGTATTTTTTGATAGCTGGCACCATCAGCTTTCTTCACCACATTTGCTTATGCACCCACTTTGTCTTCAGCAATTGTGGCAGGAAGGTGAGCATCATGGAATGCCAGTTTAATAGAACAATGTGCTCTTGCATTGAGGGAATACCTGAGTAGAGGCCAATGTCCCTCTGCCGCCTTAATACTAAACCTGTAAATATATGTACAGAGATCAATTTCCCTATCATCCTACATAAATATGTTTACGAGAACCTGGATTATATGAAGAATTCAGCATCAGGATTAGAGGAAGGCTTATTAACAACCTTTGATACCCAGATGACACAACTTTGCTTGCTGAAAGTAAGGAGGACTTGAAGCACTTGCTCATGAAGATCAAGAGTTACGAGCTTCAAGAGTTAGGAGCTTCAGTATGTATTACAATTCAATGTAAAAACAAAATCCAAAATTCTCACAACTTGAGTAGGTAACATTATGGATAAGAGATCAAAGTTGTTAAGGATTTTGTCTTGCTATATCTTTTGATAGCTGGCACCATCAGCTTTCTTCACCACATTTAGGTCCACAATTAATGCTCATGGTAGCTGCAGTCAAAACACTAAACGACACACTGTGTTGGGTGAATCTGCTGCAGAAGACCTCTTTAAAGTGTTGAAAAGCAAGGAGGTTCCTTTGAGGATTAAGGTGTGCCTGACTCAAGTGACGGGATTTTCAATTGCTTCATATGCATGTGAAAGTTGGACATTACATAAGGAAGACCAGCAGAGAAGAACGGATGTGTTTTCAGTATGGTGCTGACAAAAAACACTGAAAGTACCATGGACTGCCATAAGAATCAACAAGCCTGTTTTGAAAGTACAGCAAGAATGTTCCTTAGGGGCCAGGATGAGGAGACTCCACCTCAAGTTCTTTGCACATGTTGTCGGCAGAGACCAGTCTCTAGAGAAGAACATCAGGCAGGCTTGGTAAGGCAGAGGGCAGCAAACAAGAGGGCAGCCTTTCACAAGAAGGACGGGCACAGGAGCTGCACCAGTGAGCTCAAAAGTAGGAACCAGTGCAAGGCGCAGGACCGGGGCTGCGTCTCGTTCTGTTGTGCATCGGGTCGCTGTGGGTCAGAACCACTCTGTGGCACCTATCAACAACCAGAGTAGACTTTCAGAGTCAGGGAAAAAGGCAACTCAGGCCACACAATACTTACAATGTGGAGAAGACAGGCTGAAAGAGAGTGGCGGTGATAGCACACAGAACTCAAAGCATAAACCCAGGGACAAGGGAACAACAAGTGATCCAAATTGGTGGGGAGGTTGGGGTGGGAGACCTGGTAGGGCATGATCAAGGGGAATGTAACAAAGAGGAAGTGCTGAAATCCTGGTGGGGACTGAGCATGATA